CTCCATGCCACATCTCTGTATTATGTTACCTGTGCAAGTCTGCTACAATGAGAGGGTATCATAGGGTACCGAGGATCGGCCTCAACAGTACCCTTCCTCCGGTTACTAGGGGCCGGCGTCTGCTTTCCGTCATCCCCTCCTCCTAATATTAACCCCCCCACCCCCCGTAATATTAAATGTGACCAATATATTGTACTAGACCACAAGATGGCAGTGTGTGTGTCTGTGTGTTTTGTTTTTCTTTCCGGGGGGAGTGGGTGGTTTTATGTTTTAAAGGGGTGGTATTTCTGGGTGCATTCTCAGCTTGAATCAGAAGAGAGGATTGAGGATAAGGTTGGTAGCCACAGTGGGTTGCATCCGAAATTAACATTGCTCAATATAGGGGTTACATAGGGGTAATATAGGGGTTAGACAAGGGTAGTATAGGGGTTATTTAGGGGGAATACAGGGGTAACCTTGTTTTTTTTTGCTTTATCAGCGTCACGTAGTTGATCTGGGTAGCGCGCGGCCTGGTCTCGTGGCAGTTGATAACCTCACGGTGTTGGCGGTCGATGACCTCAGAGGGTATCTAGCGCACTTGAGGAGACACTGCATTGGCCATAGGCATGCTGATCTTTCGATCCTAGACCCCAAACCCCAGAGCTCTTTTGGGAGGGACTTTGGGTCTGTTCAGCAGAGAGTATGGCTCTAGGCCTAAGCCCTACACAAGAAGCTTCTGGTAGTTTGACTCCAGGTGTACACCTGTAGCCTGGCTGGTCCCGAGGCTTGATGAGGTATCCCTGAGCAAAGCGCCAGAAGCGTGAAGCATGATCAAGACTAAGGTTTAGGGTTTCGGGTTCAGGGTTTAGGGTTTAGGGTTTAGGGTTTGGGGTTTACGGGTCCAGGGGTCTAGGCTTTCCAGGATGTCTAGGCTTTGCACATTTGGGGCTTGGGCTGGATTGCCGGCAGCTGCGCGACAGACGAAACATCAAAGCGGCCTTCTACCTGCAACCACGGAACTAGAGGATGCAACCTTGACGCTCAAAATTCAACTTGGCACTCATGTCCATTCGGCCGCTAGCCCGAAGCGCAACCCCTAAGCTAAGCCATGAACTGTAAATCCCCCAAAACAGCACTTGGAGTTACCTACCAAGGCCTCGACCGAGTAGTGCACTCAGCTTTGCGGTGGTGATTTGTAATTCCTGCATTAAGGAGCGATTTTGGTGTTGGGTTTAGGGCTTTGGGCTTTTGTTCCCTGTAGGGCTCAGGGTTTAGTGTTCTGCGCTTAGGGCTTGAGGTTGCAGCAACTCTCCATATCAGGATTATTGTGTTTGGAATGACAATTTCTGGAAGTCCAAGGCTCTCCTATACAGATTTGCCTTGAGATCCCCCGCAGCTAGACCATGGGTTTGGGGTTTAGGGTCACAGCCACAGCTCTTGCAACCCAGAGGTTGGGAGTTCTTCCTCAAAAGCCCTTAAACCCTAGAACCCTGAACCCTAGAACCCTACATACACCCTAACCCCCTGAGCCCTAAACCCTAGACCCTAAAACCCCAAACCAGCTTGAGGGTCCCATTCTTCCCTGTGCTCACGGAACCTTTTCCTTCGGGAAGCAAAGCATTTATTCTTATGTTCCTGTGTGATCCGCTTCTGTGGTAACCCCCCCAAGCCCCCACCTCCTACACCCAAAGCCCTACCTGAACCCCAAAGTATGAGAAACCATTCGGGCTCTTATTTCACCTACGTTTAGGGTCCAAGTAGAACTGAAACCCTAGAAACCTAAACCCTAAACGCTAAACCCAAAGACCTGAACGCTCAACCCAAACCTGCTAAAGTGCTGAGATGCCACTTCAACTCCCCGGCCAGCGGGGGCCCCGGCGCCCACAACAGCGGGGACCCCTGATCTCAGGATTTTGGGTTTAGGGGTCTTAGTAGGGAATGAGGGAATGTCAGCCTTATATGATATCTTCATAATATATTCCCCCATTCCCTACCGACAATGTAACTTTTTGCAAAATCTTTGCCAAGAATAGTCCGAACGCGAATTTCACCTCTTACTCGACGCCTCATGTTGTAAAAGATTGACCTTAGGTTTATCTTCTTTCAGTCCGTATATGAGCGTATATAGCTCTATGAATGATATACCCCCCAACATACCCAGAACCCTGTCTCAATTCTTTAGGTTTAGGCCCCTACAGCCTTTACAGAGCGCTGTTAAAAAGATCTCTTCCATAAGCCTTCTAAACCCTAAAACTCCAGGGGGCCTCCTCGCCTTTGCGAACTGCAGCGACCAGCGAGGCCGCCAGCGAAAAAAGCCCGGCACTCAGCCAATAGGATCGCCTTATGGGGCTTAGGGTCAGGGTTTAGGGTTTCAGGTGTAAGGTTTATGGTTTAGGGTTTAGGGTCCCAATTAATTCCTTATAAGGCCTACGGCTTTAGTGTGTAAGGCTGCTGTTCAGGGTTTGGGCTTGAGGAAGCACTTTCTTAATCTCTTTATTCTTGCTGGGGACTACTATCTTTCTGTGGATATGAATATATACATATATATATGTATACGTAATATACATATACTATATGCACACACGTACACAGTTACCTATAGTTTTATTAACATTGGGACGATGACGATGGCGATGTGGCTGCTGACGAAGATCCTGAACGTTTACCTTGTTTTGTCATGACCAACTTTGTATTGTACTTACATTAACTTTTTGGACTCATACTTAGGAGCCAGCTACATGAGGAAGAAGTACTTGACGTGAAGAAGTGGGGGTTGCAATCTGCATATAGGAAACATTGCTTTTTGGAATGTTCTGATCGTCAGAAGGAACTTCCTGTCTCATTTGCTCAACCCGCGCCCTTAATTACTTTTGTCCATCTAGCTGCCCAGCAGGTGCTGAGCCCAGAAGAACATGTTTTAAAGCTTTTCCTGCTTGTTCGATGTACTTGAGCAGGAAGAGGCGCTCAGAGTGAAACCTGAGGCTTTTTGGGTTGGGACACAAGTGTTAAGAATGAATTCTTGGTTTGGCGCCGCGGCAGTCCAGAAGCGCGCCTTTAGGGGAGGGCTTGGGTTTTCACATTTTGCTGGTTCAACGCTAGGGTTTCAGTTTAGGGCCTGTACTTACGGTATGGAGTTCCATTTCTTCTGGGCATGGAGATGGTGTTAAACCAACGGCCTCACATTGGGTCCGTCATGCTAAGAATCAAGGCGTCATCGATTCCGAGAGACAAACTCGAAGCGAACGCCTTGTTTCTACTCGCTTAAATCTTGATCTCCAACAGAAAGCGCTTTGCCCTCAACCCTGCAAACCCTAGTCTGCGAAGCGTGCTGGCCCCTGGACTTAGCCCTGAACCCATTGCCAAGGGCCCTCAACCCTAAGTCTCAAATCCCTAAACCCTAGACCCGAGGCTCCGAACTCTAAATCTTAATCCTGAAGCCTAAGCCTAGTCGTTGAACCCTATAGCTGAACACCCTGACTGCCAGTCGCGGGGGCCAACTTCAAGTGCAAGGGAAGTGGGCTCCAGACCAAGCGGGCAGAGGCTTGGGAAAAGTGACAACTATAAGTGTTTAGGGTTAAGGGATAGCCGAAGCTGCTACTTAGCGGAACATGATATGGAAGCTGGGTTAAAGAGGGGTTTATAGAGATTGTGTCATGATCATGATTGTGAAGTTTAGGGGCCTAAATAATTTCCAACATAATGGTTCCAGGATCGTTGTATCACCATGGTATAGGATAGCTGAACTGAACTTCAAAATCGTGTTGGCAAACTATCTAGGCCCCATACAGCATCATGGCATCAGGTATTAGAAGAGGATTGGAGTCCTGGTGTCTGATGCTTAGAGCTATGTGGCCACGTATGCTCTGAGGGTTGGGGCTTCACTCAAAATACACAGTTTGGAATTCTCGTGTGGCAGTGCATTCAGCCCACCAGCTATGGGCCTCTCGCAGGCTCACACAAGTGGTAGTGCAATTATGTGCAATCAGGTGTTGAATGGCTATTTTGTGGGTCTCGAATAAGGGCGTTCTCAGTACAATGCGTATGAAGGACGGCAAAAGACACCTACCAGCATCAACTCTAGGCAGCGCACCCATATTCACATACCTTCTACGCTTTGCATCTCAAAACGGTGCTGGCGTTCGCGGCAGGCAAGCATAGCTAGATTTGCTGAAGGACATTGAACCGTGTGCAGATACGAAAACCATGTTTCAACCTTGCTGCAAGTAGCAAGTGCTAGATGGCAAAGGGTAGCTGCTTCAATCCAAACATGCTCCCCGCATTTTGTGCAGATTGGTTGGTATAGCTTCAACTTTAGCCCGGCAGGATCATAAGTCAGGGCCATAACTAGTTGCATTGCAAGAGTAGCGGATCTGATTCTTCTTGAGCACTCCAGCGAGGAGATATTGTAGCTTGCCGCTTGCATGCTCCTTCCATCAATGTGCCCCAAGAGTCTTGGACAAACCGACTATCTTGAAGCCTACACACCCAAACAGCACGGTTCCTACACGTGGAACTACGTTGAGTTCCATTTGAAGTGGACCGGAGTTTTTCGTAGGGCCGTGCTGAGTTACAGTTCAGCTTGTGGGAGCTCGGGCCCCTAAACCCTAAGCCCTAAACTTATCTCTGCGCAGCAGGCGACAAGATTCTTCCCCGAGGAGTCGGCTGTCGGTCGTGTGCAGGGTAAGTGTGGTCTGCCGATGAAATAGGCAAGGAGCACTTCCCAAAAACACTCAGCGTAACCATATGAGCTAATTATAGTCTAAGGGGAGTTACATAAGGGCTTACTTAGCGGACTACTATAGGGCCAGGTTTAAGGGGGATAGTAGAAGTGTAGACTATAGCTCATTTACATCAAACCCCATGGAGTCCCTGTGTGAACAGTGGGGCTCTCAGCGTTCAGCAGCAAGCTCACAGTGTAATTCTGTTGAGTTCCGGTTCAGACACCAAGGCATCATATTACGGTCCTGCAAGCATTGTGGAAAATTGTAGTTTGGAGCGGATTCTGTCCACGTGCAATTGCCATGCATCTTCGCCGGCACGCAGACAAGTACGACCAATGCCGGCGGAAAGGTGCCGTCATACGCCGCTATTGGAAGGAAGCTAATGCTGGTTCAAAAGCAGCTGCACTGAAATTCGCTGCCCACGTGGCTGCCTGGATAGCCTTCAGCCCCTTGAAAAGAAGAAGGCCGCAGGAAATTGAGCTCAAGCTTTTGGCGAAGTTTCTTGCAAAACTTGGGAGACTGCCGCGCGGCCGCTTGAAGAAGATCTTGCCCGCAACGCAGGAGGTGCTGCAGTCTGCTTCCCATGAAGAGGTGAGGGAAATGTTTTAGTCACAGCCAGCACAGAGACTACTGTGTTTTCAAGGGTTCTACAAGGATCCTTGTTTGCGTAAGGTCTGCATAATGTTCCTGTATAAAACCCTACATCTACTTGCATAAGCCTAGACTGTGTTCAAGAAGTGGCTCCCTGCTGTCCCTAGAATCATACGGGATCCATTTAGGGGCCCCCTTACAGCTCCCCTTGCCCTAAAAATACAGGTCGGCGACTCCTGGGTTCAAGCACGCAACAACCTCAAGAAGCAAGTCGACAGGTGGGCGCTTCTCAAAACCCGAAACAGTCCCGCGAAAACCCTGAATACGGGCTCCTTGAATTCTAAAACCTACACCGTTCCGGTAGGTTTGAACTTAGGCTCCCTTATTAGCAGATTGCTTGCACTAGGCCAGGTGCGCAGGGCTAAAGGCAAAAAAGGAACGAAGCACCAATTTGCACACTGAGGCCCTCTGGCTGGGTTGTTGTTGGGGAATTGAAACTTAAACTGGTCATAATCCGTAATGTTGGACCCTCTTTAATCTTGGGGACTCCCCCCCACCCCCCTCTCACCCCTAACAATAGGGCCCCCCGAAAAATAGAAAATAGACGTCCTGAATAAGGACCCCACGGTACTGAGGGTCTACGTTACAGCCGGTTGAGAGCCTAGCGCATACCCCTTCATGTTCCATGTTCCACTTGAGTCTCCATCATAGTAACTTTGTTTCAGATCGTTAAACGCAACCCCAAACCCTAAACTCCCAACCCTGAGCCCTAAACCCTCAACCCCCTAAAGGAGACAACCCCCAGGTTGAAACATCTCTGTTCCCGTCCAACGGCATATGCAGATGAGCCTTGGTCTAGGCTGCCAAGAAGGGTTTGAGAATGAGGAGGCGGTGAAGTAGGAGGAGGAGGAGTTGTTGTAGTAGCAGCAGGAGGAGAAGTAGAAGGAGGAGGAGGAGTAAGAGGAGGAGCAGGATTAGGAAGACTAGGAGTAAAAGTAGAGGGAGTAGTAGGAGGGTTTAGGGTGCAGAAGATGTGGCTTAGGTTTGCGCGGATGCTTTTGTTGTCGCTGACGTTTTTTAGTGTAGCCGTGGTTCTTGCTTCTGATGGCCGACACATCTGGGGCACATCAGGGAAATGCCTGTTTGAGACATCGCGCCTGAAAGCTGTTCAAGCTTGTCTCAACTTGTAACTCGTAATTGCAAAGGAGTCCGAGAATGCCTTTTGTTAAAGTCGCATGGTCAGGAAAACAACGGATCCTTAGCCGAGGGAAGCTTCCTGGAAATGTTTCCTGACAATGAACTCAGCTGTGGACATCTTGTGTTTTTTCCCAGCACCGAAGCTACAGTGGACCGCAGAAGCAGCGCTCTACGTAGTGTCCGTGGTAGAGATGTCGGAGCAGCCAGAACCCAGTTTTATTTAATTTGGGAGGACCAGAGGGTTGAGAGTCCAGGGCTTGGGTGGGTACTATTACTATTAACAAACTTTGGCTATGAACGAAAGACATCGAGCCGACGTGGCGTTCCGTTGCATAAGTCTCAAAGAAGCCTGCAAGATTTCTTAACAGAAGCCTCTGTACGTTGCCTGTACAAGGCTCCCGTAGCTGCTTTTGGAGATAAAAATGCATCCAAACCTTAAGGCCCAAACCTCAAACCCTGAAACCCCAAGCCTTGAATGATATCCAAACCTTCAATCCTAAACCTGTTATGATGAGGATCCCTGGCCTCAGCTCTCAACCGTGTTCGAAAATGGTGTGGAAGCAGCTGCCGCAGATGCAGAGCAGGAGGAATCCGTAAGAAAAAGGGGTCGACAGGGAAAATGTGGACAGCCTTCCAGGATTTCTATAAGTGGTGGGAGGGGTAGTTTTAGGGTTATATAGGGTAATATTGGGGTTATATTGGAGTAATATTGGGGTTATATTGGAGTAATATTGGGGTTATATAGGGTGTTCTTTTGAGTGGTTTGCCTAAATGGGGACGTGCAGATCCGATCATGTGCTCCAATTGGTCCCATCTAATTTCTGGAAGGAGACGTCGGAGCCAGATATTCCTACCTTTTTCTTTCGTGTTAGTCTGGTGTAAGAGGCATGTGTTCAGAAATCCTTTTCAAGTCGCTCTAGCACTGAAAAAGTGTGCTCAGAGGCCGATGAGGTGTCTCTGGGGACGACCTCGCCCACTTTGCAGCAGCTTTTCCGTAAACTGAACGAGTGGAGATTCCTCGAGCCGAACCAGAGGCTTTGGCTAGGGCAGGGTTTGGGATATGGGGGTTTCCCAAAATTAGGGGTACCCTTTTTTGGCGTCCCTATACTAAGGAGTATAGTATGTTGGGGTCTATATTGGGGTCCCCTTATTTGGGGAAACTACCATATAGCTGGCGGCCACAGCTCCGCCGAGTGGTCGGTCATGGTTTGTGGGGATGTGGTGGGCTGCGGCGGACCTCTCAGACCCAGCAAGGAAGCAAATGCATGCAGCACTTTTAATGTGACAGCCAAGTAGCTTACGCCAGCTGTAAGCTGCCACGCAAGACCACTGCCAAACAAAGAGTGTCATGTACGGACCACCCGAGTTTTTCTGACGCTGTGTGTAGTCGTCGGCCACAGATCCCATGTCTTGCATCTTCTCAACATCATCCATCTCTGCACATCTACATCTGCGTGTGCCCTAACCAAACCCTACATGCTAAACCCTGATCCCTAGCCCCAACGCTACATCCTCAACCACTGTGCTCCTAAATCTGCATGTCGCTCGCGGCCCAACTCCTCTCAGGCTTTGAGTTCAATGGAGGTATCCTGGAAACCTAGATGCCCATTGAACAAGCGCGAGTTAGGGCTGAAGTACTCTAAAAGAAGGGCTTGCAGTTTCTTATAACCCTATACCGTATCAACCCTCAACCTTATAAACCCTAAACCCGAAAGCCTCACCCCTAAACCCTAAACCCCTTAAACCCTTCAACCCCGAGCCTCTATGACCACAGGCTGGAGAGAATGAACAGAGCAGTGGAAATTGCACGCCGGAATCGCATGCGTTTCTGCAAGGCGTGCTTGTCCAAAGCATTGAGTGTAACGTCAGACATAGGGGAACACAAATGTGTGATCGAGCTTCATGCTGCAGACTTTGGGGCTTACTACTTGCGGTCTAAAGATGCAAGGTCCACGCCACAGATTCTGGGTTCCGGCATCTTTCTACCGAAGGATCCCTAAACATTCGCACTAAACCTTAAACCGCATGCTACCAGACACTGTGGATTTAGGGTTCAGAAGTGTTGAAGTTGTGGCATCATCGCTACACCCCAAACCTTACATAACTCTAACACTTGACTCGAAGTCCTTGACTCCAGGACCTATAAGAGCAACCTGGCCCTTAGTATGGGCCGCGTCTTGCGTCCTGAACCCTATGTATCCGCTTGATTGGGGTTGTAAGGTGTTCTAGGGTGTATGGTGGGGACAAGGAAGATCCCAAGCATGCTTTGCATGAAGCTGGCTTTCAGTGTTGTCGCTTTATGGCTTCTCATGCAGTATTATAAACCCTTGCCCATCCAAGTCCGCTGGATTCAGAATGTCAAAGCAACAATGATAGACCCATACTGGGGGTCCATGGTTAAAGCCTCTGTCGAACTGACCCACGTTTGCAGAAGTGGCCTGAGGCTCATCATTTCCATGCAGCTGTTTTGGTGATCATGGCCACTAGTAGCTCCCCTAAGTCCAGGATTCATTCATTCAATTTCATTGCATATCCCACAATAGAGTACAATCCCTACTGGAAGGATCCCCCGCCCCCCAAAAAAGGACCATCTGTTTTCCGAAGCCAGCATATTGCGAACGCACGAGAATGTTGACAGATGCTCACTATTTGGGGCCCTTGTCCCTATAGACCCCCAAAACTCCTCCGAGCCGCCATGGCCCCATAAACTCCGCCAAAAACCCCACAAAACCTCCACATTTCTCATCTCAAAGTCTTCTTGTGGGAGGAGGAGTTGGTAGAGACGGTCTACACTGCTGCAGCTGCGCTTCGGGGCCCCAGAAGAGAGGCTGATGGTTCCCCTAAACCTTACGAGTAAGTACCTTTGTCAAGGTCTATATAGGAGCTATAGTCTAAACTCCTAGTATCCCCGCTTGATAACCCCCATGTAGTCTCCTATGTAATCCTCCATATAACCCCCATGAAGGAGTTTAGACGATAGCTCGTAAGAATCCTAGCCATAATAAGCCCCAAGTACTATTCTTAGTCACCCCAGGCTGGTAGTGGAATTGAAATTAGATCTGTGGGTTCTAGGGGAGGCCTCCGAGAGAACCATGACGTCGGTGTGAAGGCTTTGCCGACTTAGGGGCTGTGGTAGCTCTCCCCGGGTCATCGTGGAGGGCCCGAGGTTTCTTAGCAAGACAACCCAACTCGGAATGCTGAAAGTCAAAAAAGAAAGAAGCTACTGGCAGAGATCCATCCCATTCAAGTACTTACTTCTCCAGGCGCCGGGACGCTTTAGACAACTCAAGTCTTCTAACCTTTGGAGGATGAGTATATGTATATATAGACCTTTACCCAAAAAAGACAGGCACTCCAGCACGAGGGTGACGATGCAGCCAAGGAGGCAGGAGGAGGCCCAGCTTTGAATTTGCAGGGAGACTCTGACCTGCAAAGACGGGCCCGGAAGCTGCTTCTGGAGGCCTTGCGTACGTGGCAAGCTAATGGCTGTGACTGTGGTGCCATTGAGCACGTCTTGCGATATCTTCAGAACCAGATCTTTAAGTTTGAGGCCACCGTGGGAAAGATTGAGAGCGCTGCTGCGGGAGCAACATGGTCATCTATCAAGCAGATCGTCCACGCACTCTTGCTATGTAAGGAGGTTCTCTTACCTGAATCCAGCAGCTGTTTGCAATCGCGGCCTCTGGTGGTCGATCCGCCGAGTGCTTTGCATGCGACACCATCCATGGACTCTCCGGGATGTAGCCCTACGCAAGCTGCGGAGGAGCGGAAGAGTTCGAACCGGTCGCGCGGACGCCTGGAAAGACAAAGCGGTATCCAGAACATCTGCTGGGAGTCTACATTCCCCAGTTGGAGAATACGATGGTACACCTCAGCACGCAAGAGACGAAGCAAGACATTCCCGCTAGATCCCTTCATGAAGCAAGGGCTGAGCGAGGATGAGGCCATTCAAGCTGCACTGCGGCAGGCCAGACTTATCTCCAAGGTTCGGTAATCTGTATCACTCTGTTTTCCCCCATAAATATCGGGCTACGTGGGGATATGAAGGGAATTTCCAGCAAAAATGATTGCATCCATTCTAAGTCAACCAGTTCTCTCACGTCGAAGGACCCCCAGACCTCCCTGAAAGTGCTGCAGGCCAAAGCTTTCCGACGTGAGCTGGTTCGGCGCGGCGAGCTTCAGCCACCTAAATCCGCAGCTTCCTCGGTGCTGGGAGTCCAGTTCTACCCCAAGAAGTCTTGCAACCCGTAGCCGGACGTCTTTGAAAGAGCTTTATATGTTTTGCCTTCGTGGATATCTTAATTATAAGCTTCGAAAAACAAGCACCAAAGAAGTTTCAATACAAGTTGAGGTGGAGGGTTCAACTTCGGCATCCGGACACCAAGAAAGCCGTACAGGGAGGCTACTTCCAAACCCAGGCAGAAGCTGAGGAAAAGGCACAGCAAATGGCGCAGCAGCTAGATCTGCAAGTGGAACCTGGGCTGTGTTTGAAGTTAGTTCAGGCTTTATGATACCTGAGGAAGTCCCACGCCCTAGGAATAATGAGATATTCTTGCATTATTTCATGACCCAGGAACCGTTACCGGTGAAGAAGCTCTCAGAGCTTCAGCACTTTGAGCCCCTGGGGCCACAGAAAGGAGTTACATGGAGCCTGGGTCAGCAATGTTGGCGTGCTGCCACCTACGCGAAGGGCAAACAGAAGCACATGCGATTTTACCCCAAAGATCTGTCTGAAGCGGAGGTGGGAACAGCGTGGAGGCAGGCTCTAGCATGGCGAGAAGAGCAGCAGAAACATCGTCATGCTCAACTGTGATGGCTGCCGGCTGACGTTGCGAGTCGCAGTTATTTGCACCTCTTTTGGCAGCCGAAATGATTCAGCCTGCTTTTTTGCAAGATTTGGAGAAGAGGTCATACTTGAAGGGAACTTCTCTGCAACCAGGTTCCGAGCGTTTGAAGTGTTTGAGGGGAGTGTCAGGCGCAGTACATTACTTCAGCAACTGCTCTCCAGAGAGCTTGCAAATGCTGGCCTTTCACTGCCCCATCCCACTGAAATTCATCACATATTGTAGAAGTGGTCTCGCAAGTCAGAGTTGGCTTTTGGTTATATTGCACTTATCTCTTCGCCGCGTGTATGGCAAGTTTGTGGCGACTTTGGTTGCATAGTATTGTTGAACCCGAAGAAGAACAGATTTGGTGATGCAAGCATTTCAGGGTACCTTGACTTCTTCCGGCAGGGTTGCAAAGGGATTCATGTTCCTATTTTTGACATCCTAGATCAATCTTCAAGTTTGGAGCTCCATGATCTGCCCCGATGCAAGATCATCCCGATGCTTCGGAGCTGTAACCTGGTATACTCCTATATCCCCCAATAGATTTGTTTCCTTGAAATGGGACCCCCTAGCCTTTCTCTATAGGGATCCAAAAAGCCCAAAGCAGGTGTTGTTGATAGACTTTAGGCCCCAAAGTAAATAATGATTATAGACCGTAAGCCCTACACCTTGAACCCTTAAACCCTAAACCTTAGACCCTAAACCCTAAAACAACCCTAAACCCTAAACTATTACTTAAATGAATGAAGCGCGAAGGAGGCTGCGGAACCAGATGCCGAACCAGACACGGAGCCTGAGGCCTGCTTTGGAAATGGACCCTTTTAAAGGGGGATATAGGGTTTAGGGATTAGGGTTTAGGGTTTATAGGGTTTAGGGATAGGGTTTAGGGTTTATGGTTTTAGGGTTTAGGGTTAGGTCATAGGGTTTAGGGTGTAGGGTTGGAGGCTTTTAAAGGGGGGGAGATAGGGGCTATATGAGCTACGGTCAATACTAGGCTGTTTAAGGGACATAAGGGTCCCTCTTGTAGTTTAGTATAGTCCCTAATATAGTCCCTAATAAGGAACCAATGCCCATGA